TTTATCATGAAGGGGTTTTGGATTTTGTCAAAGGCTGTTTCAGCATCTAATGAGATAATCATGTAGTTTTTTTTCTTTCATTTGTTTATATGGTGTATCACATTGACAGATGTATTTTTATATGTTGAATCATCCCTGCATCCCAGGGATGAAGCCTACCTGATCATGATGGCTGATTTTTTTTGTGTGTTCTTGGATTCAGTTTGCTAGTATTTTATTGAGAATTTTTACATCAATGTTCACAAGGGAGATTGGTCTGTAATTCACTTTCCCAGTTGTGTGTTTATGTGGTTTGGGTATCAGGGTAACTGTAGTCTCATAAAAAGGTTTGGCAATGATCCTTCTGTTTCTATTGTTCGGAACAATTTCAGGAGTATTGGTATTAGCTCTTCTTTGAAATTCTGGTAGAATTTTGCACTGAAACCATCTGGCCCTGGGTTTTTTTTTGTTGGGAGACTTTTGATTACTGCTTCTATTTCCTTAGGGGTTATAGGTCTATTTAAATTGTTTATCTGATCTTGATTTAATTTTGGTATGTGGTACCTATCCAAAAAATTACCCATTCCTTTTGCATTTTCCAATTTTGTGGAGGACAGGCTTTTGAAATATGACCTAATGATTCTCTGGATTTCCTCAGTGTCTATTATTGTATCCCCTTTTCATTTCTGATTTTGTTTATTTGGATGCTCTCTCTTTCTGCTTTTTGGTTGGTTTGGATAAGGGTTTGTCTATCTTGTTGATTTTCTCAAAGAACCAACTCTTTGTTTTATTGATTCTTTGTATTATTCTCTTTGTTTCTATTTCATTGATTTCAGCCCTCAATTTCATCATTTCCTGGCATCTATACCTCCTGGATGAATTTGCTTCTTTTTATTCTAGAACTTTCAAGTGTGCCGTTAAGTTGTTACTGTGGGATTTCTATATGTAGGCACTTAGTGCTATGAACTTTTCTCTTAGCACTGCTTTCATAGTGCCCCATAAGTTTGGATATGCCGTGCCTTCATTTTCATTGAATTCTAGGAAGTCTTTAATTTCTTTCTTTCTTCCTTGACCCAGTGGTGATTCAGTTGAGTATTGTTCAGTTTCCAAGAGTCTGTAGGTTTTCTGCATTTTTTGTTGTTGAATTCTAGCTTTAAGCCATGGTAGTCTGATAAGATACAGGGGGTTATTCCATTTTTTTTGTATCTGTTGTGATTTGTTTTGTTATCTAGTATGTGGTCAGTTTTGGAAAAGGTTCCATGGGGTGCTGAAAAGAATATATATTCTTTTGTGTTTGGGTGAAATGTTCTATAGATGTTTGTTAGGTCCATTTGAGTCATAACATCTGTTCGTTCCCTTATTTTCTCTGTTAAGTTTCAGTCTGGCAGATCTGTCCAGTGTTAAGAGTAGGGTGTTGAAGTCTCCCACTATTAGTGTGTGAGCTTTGATGTGTGATTTGAGCTTTTACAAATGCCAGTGCCCTTGTATTTGGAGCATAAGTGTTCAGAATTGAAACTTCCTCTTGATGGATTTTTTCTGTGATGAATATGAAATGCCCTTCTTCATCTCTTTTGATTTGATTTTAGTTTGAAGTCTATTTTGTTAGATATTAGAATAGCTACGCCAGCTTGTTTCTTAGGTTCATTTGAAGGGAAAGTTTTTTCCAAACCCTTTACTCTGAGGTAATGTCTGTCTTTGAGGTTGAGGTATCTTTCTTGTATGCAGCAGAATGATGGATCCTGTTTTTGTATCCATTCTGTTATCCTGTGTCTTTTTATAGGTCAATTGAGTCCATTGATATTAATGATCAGTGTTTGTTAATTCCTGTTATTTTTGTTGTGTGTGTGTGTGTGTGTGTGTGTGTGTGTGTGTGTGTGTGTGTGTGTATTTCCCTTCTTTGGGATTTGTTGTTGTGATGTTATCTGTTGCCTGTGTTTTGGTGCTTGCAGCTAGCTTCCTTTGGTTGGAGTTTTTGTTCTAGTACTTTTTGTAGGGTTAGATTTATGGATATATAACCTGGTTTTGTCATGAAATATCTTGATATCTTGTTTTCTCCATCTATAGTGATTGAAAGCTTTACTGGGCACAGTAGTCTGGGCTAGCATCTGTGATTTCTTAGTATCTGAAGGATGTCTGTCCAGAACCTCCTGGCTTTCAGAGGTCTATTTTTTTGTGGTCCAGTCTGTTTGGTGTCCTGTACCTTCATAGGCATGTCCTTCTTTAGGTTGGGAAAGTTTTGGTTATATTTTTTATTGAATATATTTTCTGTGCCTTTGAGCTGGAAATCTCCTATTTTTCTACCCCTATTATTCTTAGGTTTTGTCTTTTCAATATGGTGTTCCATAGTTCCTGGATGTTTTGTGTTAAAAATTTGCTGGATTTATCATTTTCTTTTTCTTTCTTTCTTTCTTTTTTTTTTTTTTTTTGGTTTTCGAGACAGGGTTTCTCTGTGTAGCTTTGAGCCTTTCCTGGAACTCACTTGGTAGCCCAGACTGGCCTCAAACTCACAGAGATCTGCCTGCCTCTGCCTCCTGAGTGCTGAGATTAAAGGCATGTGCCATCACTGCTCAGCTGGATTTATCATTTTCTTTGACCAATGAATCTATTTTCTCTATCATATCCTCAATGCCTGAAAGTCTCTCCTCCATTTCTTGTATTCTGTTGGTTATGATTGCCTCTGTAGTTTCTGTTCATTTACTCAGATTTTCCTTTTCCTGAATTCACTCAGTTTGTGGTTTCTTTATTGCTTTTATTTCAATTTTCAGGTCTTGAACTGTTTCCTTCACCTGTTTGATTGTTTTTTCTTGGGTTTCTTGACTTTCTTTAAGAGATTTCTTGATTTCCTCCAACTTTTGTTTGTCTTTTCCTCTATTTCTTTAAGTGAATTTTTCATTTCCTCCTTTAGGTCTTCAATTGTCTTCATAAAGTTGTTTTTAAGGTACTTTTCTTCTGGATCATCTGCTTCATATTGTTCAGGTATTGCTGTTGTAGGATTACTAGGTTCTGGTGGTACCAGAACTGATATGTTGTTTAATGTGTTCTTACACTGCTGTCTACCCATTTCTTCCTTTAATCCAAACAGGTGGAGCTCCAGGTCATTCTTCTCCCAATTTATTTAGAAGGGGGTTGATAGCTCTGGTGATCACTATTCCCAACTGGTGCAGAGTGGACATATGGCTCTGGTGGTCACTGGTGCCACTGGGGATGACTGGCTTGGTGAAGGGGCAGAGGAGGAGGCAGCTGCCTAGTCTCTGGGGCTACACTGGTTGAGGGAGGGGCACAGAATGTACCCCTGTGGACTAGGGGCTAGAGATCTGGTCTGCTCAGTCTAGAGATAGGGTCTTACCTATTCTTAGTCAGTGCAGGGTGGGTGTATGGCTCCAGTGGTCACTGATGCCACAAGGGATGGTTCCTGATAATTTACTTACATGATCTTATAATGTGGCTCAGGATGTCCTCCAACTCAACATTATAGAAAGACTTACCTCCACCTCCCAATGGTTAGAATTCCATACATGCCTAGCTTGTGTCTAAAATTTTTTTTCAAAACAGGGTTTCTCTGTGTAGCTATGGCTGTCTTGGAACTCACTCTATAAACCAGGGTGGATTTGAACTCAGATATCCAACTGTGTCTGCCTCAAGAGGGTTGGGATTAAAGGTGTGCACCAATACCCCCTGGCAACCTTTGAACTCAGATATCGACCTGGCTAAGTCTCTAGAGTGCTTGGATTACACTGTGTGTGTTTCACTGAACCTGACTCCTCTTGCATTTTAGTAGTGACCAAGTATCCCACTGCAGATTAAATCCTGGCTTTTTAAACTATTCCTTAGCTGATAAACAGTTGTGTCAAATGCTGACATCACAATGATGATCTGATCATTACCCTTCTCTATGAGCTGTGCATAGACACACAACAGATTCCTTCTAATTCTTCCAGTGTGAAACAATCAGCATGTGTTGGCTGCATCTCTGGCTCAAGGTCTCAGCTAGAACTGTGATGAATCCCACTGCTGGCTAAGGCTAGGTTTTCACCTAGGTTTGAGTAGGGGTGGGGCAGTTTTCAAACTAAGAGATGGTTGAATTGTTGCGTTATTGATCTAAAAAGTCACTTTTTCCCTGGCTGCCGACTGGAGAGTGTTCTCAGCTCCTCAACACAGGGACCACAGGGCAGTTCACAGTGTGGTGGCTGTCTTTCCTACCAGCAAGAAATGAGCAGGCAAGCAAGGCAAAAGGCAATGTCTATAGAATTTAGTCCTGGGGATTAAGCCCATTCTGGTACAGTGGTGTTCATTTATAATCCTACCATTAGGGAGGCTGAGGCCAGAGTGTTGCTAAAGTCAGAGGCTAGCTAGCCTGGGTTACAGGGCACATCCATGTCTCAAATAGGTAGACAACTTTTGCTTAGGCCTGGCTGTCCTCTACCTCCTTATGTGTAGCATGAATTTATGTGTGTTCACAAGGGCATGCTTTTAACCTGTATTGGGGCAAGCAAACACACACACACACACACACACACACACACACACACACACACACACACCTCTATTCACTGCTCTCCTGATGCAGCAGCTGATAGGAGTCTAGGAGGAAGTGTCAGGAGTGATTGTCATGATCTATTGTGGACCATGATGCAGTTAGAGTTATAGTAATTGATAGTTCAGATATCATCCCATCAGAGGAATAATTTCTCAGATGGAATGCCTGTCAGGCAAAGCTTGTAGGCTACCAACAATGAAATTGTTGCTTTCATCTCTAATTTCACTTGTGCAAGAACAGCTATAACATCTCCCCATTTACCATGCACTTTCATGTAATGTGCACATGTAATCTCATGATTCCACCTCAGTCTTATGGGCACACGTATATCCATGTCTTTCATTTGCTGCAGTGTTCTGATCTGAACCCTGAGGAGGTCTTGAGGCTGGACCTCAAAGGCTTTCCATAAGGAAGCTAGCAGACAGGCATCGGACCCCTGGTAAATCCAAGAGGGATTGAGTGAGTGTCCTGTGCATTCTTACAGGAGGTGCTACTACATTGAACCTCACCCCTAGGCAGTTTGGCAATGTGTTCCAGTGCACCATCCCTTTTATTAATTACTTCTCGGGTTACAACTTCTATGGCTGCTACTGTGATGGTTTCATAAGCTACAAGGAGAAAGAATTAGACAGGTGAGTGATCCATCTGTGGGCAGACTAGAGTTTCTTGGTTGGTAGGTACAGGACACAAGCAGAGCATCTCATGAGCCAAGAATAGGAGATATGCATATTCACCACACATCATGTATTTTTTTTATTATTTAGTGTTTGTTCATTTTGTTTCCAAACAGGGGTTTTCTGTGTAGCCCTGGTTGTCCTAGAACTCTCTGTGTAGACCTTGATGGCCTTGAACTCAGTGATCTTCCAGCATCTGTTTCCTGATTAATGAAATTTAAGGCTGGCATCAGCACCACCAGCATGTATTTTCACCTCTTGTCAGGTGAATAAATCTGTCCAAGAGGACATGAATCTAATGCTCCCTGAAACAGAATGTGTGAGATGTAAATAGTGGACAATGCTGGGCTCAGGCACCAGACTAGGGCAGGGCAACCACCACAGCCACCATCAAAATGTCAGCCTTGACTTTAAAATGCCATCAAAACTTTGGAATATATAATTTCACTTTGTTCCTGTGGCTTTGTTTTAAAAAATCATTTTTTGGATACAGGGTCTCATTTATGTATCACTGGCTGAACTCCATCCAACTCAGAGATCCATATGCCTCTGCCTCCCAATTACTGAGAATAAAGGCAGACACCTCCATACTCCACAGAAATTATTTCAATAAATATGTGCTTAATAGATATCACAGATTTTCCAGCCTGGGGAACATTACTTGTGAAACATTATGTTTAAGTCATCCTGATAGGTTTGAGAAAGACTGCAGGTGAGAACTGACCTCCTGTGGGTCCATACTCCTCCCTCAGCTGTTCCTTCCTCTCTCCAGGTGCTGTCAGGTTCATGACAACTGCTACACTCAGTTCAAAGAACTGGAAAGCTGTAAATACCTCAAAGACAAAACCTACGGAATGTCCTACTCATACTTGTGCCCTAGGAATGAATTCACTTGCAGTGGTAGGTTTACCCTCTGGGACCTCTGGACTCTGCGTGGTTGTGTATTGGTTGCCTCATGGAGAGCCTGCTCCAAGGCCACCTCCAGGGAATTGCAAAAAAAATCCATGAATTTGCAATGGGTTGGGGAAATTCTTATATATCTGAGGGCTATACTTTCTACTTGAGGGTAATTAATAGGAAACACACATGCTTTCTAATGATAACTTACTCTTTTACTTCAACTTAAGAAATCCTCTCTCTTAAAAATCTCTCTCTGAAAATATCTCTATCTCCACACAGTTACATCACTTTACATACAGCTGCATTTTCCACACACACTTACACAACTCCCTTTTCTCTCTTAAAAAAATCTCTCCTGCTCCCTCTTCTGCCTAGCTATTCATGTTCTCTCCTCAGCTCCTTCTACACACACACACACACACACACACACCCTCACTCACAGCTGCTCTTCCCACAGTTCCTTCACACAGCTCTTCCTCCATGGTAACAGCTCCTTCACCCAGCTCTCCACAGCCGTCTCTCTCCACACCACAGCTGCTGCCTCACAGCCAAGCTCTGGACAATTATAAGTTACATTTTCAGGACCCTACCCATTCTCACAACACAAGATAAGTCACATAGTTTCTCTTAGGCTAGTGATGTCACACTGACCCACACACATAGCTCTAAGTTAGTGATGGATCCCAGACAGTAAACAATTGGCTGAACCTTGAGCTGTCAGGGTCCGTGCAGAAAGAGAATTTGCAAGGAGCTAAGTCTGAGTGTAATCAGCCTGGCCATGATTTAGCAATAAATAAAATAAATAAAATTTAGGAATAAACATCTGGGAATTAGTCTTTGAGCATTTTCTGCAGGGGCAGTTTAGTCTGCTTTCACTTTGTTCTTAATTCCAAAATTAGCTGTATAAAAGTGTGTCTTTGTGACTTTGAATCCTATGTCAATATGAGTAATGTAAAATATTTTAATATTGTTTCTATATATCAAAATTATACAGGCTAAATAGAAATTATCTTCCAGAACATCCACATCTATACGTGTGCCCAAAGATGGAATATATTTTTGAGATAAACACACAAGCAGTGGGAGAACACCCATAGTAGTTCTTAGGGAAGGAACGTGGTGACACATAAGAGAAATCACTGACAAAAAAATGGTTTCCACAGCCAGTGATCCCATGGCCTTGCCAGGTTGGGCTCCCCATCAGGTGGGTCTGGTGGGTCGATCTGTTAAACACTATTTGTCACTGCTGTACATTCCCACAGCCCCAGGCAGCCCTGGAGTGGTGATATTGTGTACCAAACATAGCTTATCTGATAATCAGGACAAAGCCATCCACTAGATTAAACATAGAGGCCAGGCCGTGGTGGTACACAGCTTTAATCCTAGCACTTGTGAGGCAGAGATCCATCTGGATCTCTGTGAGTTCAAAGCCACCCTGAACTACATGAGATTGATTCACTCTAGGAGAAAAACAGAGCCAGACAGTGGTGGCATACGCCTTTAATCCCAGCACTTGAGATCTCGTGCCTTTGCTACCAGTATTTGGGAAGCACACACGCCATTAATCCCAGCACTAGAAAGGAAGTGAAATGGCTGGACAGAGAAAGGTACATAATGCATGAGGAGACAGGAACTAGTGCCTTTTTGACTGAGGAAGCTTCTCATCTGAGGACTCAGAGGCTTTCAGTCAGAGGATTCGTGGAGATAGGATCTTGCTGTCCATTCATTCTGAGGATTCAGTAGTGGTGAGAAGTTTCTCTAGTGGCTTGCTCCTTTGTCTCTCTGATCTTTCAGCACTTACCACAATATCTGGCTCTGGGATTTTATTATAAGACCACTTAAAATTCATGCAACATCTGGTGCCCAACATGGGGCTGGAACTTAAGACTCTGAGATTAAGAGTCTTATGCTCTACCAACTGACCATTTAAACTTTGTGTAACACACTGGGCACTGTGTGAGGAGCATAGAAGTAACAAGGACAGTCACCATTTAGTGGTTATTTACTTGGTCTCATGTGACCTCACAACAGCCTTATCAGGTAGATACTAAAATATAGATGAGGTCACTGATGAGGAAGATGAGGAAGGCAGGGCCACTTGCTCAGGTCACCCATCTTAGAAGTGATGATATTCGGTTCTGGGAATAAATCTACATCGTTCCAAAGCCTCTGTTTAAAAACTTTTCAATATTTTATGTATTTCTGGAGGAGGCATGCCTGTGTCACAACACAGGAGTGGAGGTCTGAGGACAACTTGCAGGAGTCGGTTCCCTCCTTCGACCATGTATGTCCTGGGGATAGAGCATGGGTTCAGACTTGGCAGCAAGTGCCTTTATTCCCTGAGCCATTTTGCCTGTTCAAAACCTCTCCTCTTAACTGCTGTGTTATACTGAGTCCAAATTGACTAAACACTTGAGAGGTGCATCACTGTATATCAGCCAGATACTGGACTAAACAACTATGCAGGGTGAGATTTATCATTCCCGTTTTATAGGTGAGGATTCAGAGGACTGAGAATATAGCTCAGTTGCTAGAGTGCTTGCCTAGCATGCATGGAGCCCTGGGTTCCACCTGCAAAGCCCATAAATTGAGTGTGGTAGTGCACACCTGCAATCCAGCACTTGGAAAGTGGAGACAGGAGGATCATATAATTCTATATGTATTAGTTGATATTTGTAGTTTTCCTGGTTTTTGTATTAAATATATGTGTTTATTTATTTTTATGTGTAGGAATGAGTTTGCATCCCTGGTCTTCTTAAGTCACTCTCCACCATGTCTTTAGAGGCTGGGTCTCTTACTAAACATGACATTTACCTTTAGACAGTCTGACTTACCAACAAGTTTTGGGGATCTGTGCTGCCCACTTCCCAGTAGAGTTACAGATGCTCCAAACACACCTTGCTTTTTCCATGGTTTCTGGGCATCCTAGGTCAGGCTCTCATGATTGTATGTTAACCACTTTACCAACTGTGCCATCTCCCCAGCCCACAACAACTAATGTTCTCATTATAAGTGTGTTCTAGCGACTTGGACAACCCAATGTCCTTTTGGGTGCTCTGTCTCTCAACCATGGGTTCAGACTTGGCAGCAAGTGTCTGCACCAATGCAAGGTGTACCAGTTTCTTTTGGTTATAAATTGTACAGGGTCATGGGCTCCATGAAACTTCCTTTCTTGTTTCTCTCCAGAGGAAAACAATGCCTGTGAGGCCTTCATCTGCAACTGTGACCGCCAGGCCGCCATTTGCTTCTCCAAGCAGAACAAAGACATTCACTGTTAGACTTGTCACCTCAGTGACTGCCCACACCATTCCTGCTGCCTGGTAGTGTTCACACTGTGCCCTCTAATAAAGCAGCAATTGAAATAACCCAACTTTGGTGATTGTAGTCTCTGTTTACTAACTATAACTAGATCCTCAAAGAACATCATTCCGTCTAGCCCTGGAAACTGAAGGTTAGTGGGAAAGGCATTGCCATTAGAGGAGCACCTTAAAGAGTGGGTGATGAGCCAGGCCATGCATTCCATCCCAGAACAGTGGGATGCAGAGACAGAGGAAGGCAGATCTCTAGAGTTAAAGAACCACCTGGTCTAAAATCCAACTCTGGGACATCCAGGACTATCACACAAAAAAACCCTGTCTTTAACCACAGAAACAACAACAGAAGAACTCAGCCTGAGATACAGAGGTTGTAAGGAGAAACAGAAGTAGAAGAGGAAAGGAGAGATGAGGCAGGGATAGAGACAGAAAAGGAGGGGACGGGTGGGAAGGGAAGGAAAGGAAAGACAGAAAGGAAGGATGGGAGAAAAGAGAGAATGAAACAGTGTCACAAGGATACTAAAGGAACATCTTGGCCCTAAAAATACAGGACTCAAAGTGTTTTGCAGCGTCTGCTAGTTCTAGGAAGTTGGATATAGGAAATCACACTGGACTGACTGTAAATGACCTGAAGGCAGGATTACATCGAGGTGGACTACCAGTCTTCACTGTGCCTCAACACACACCACAGGATAATGTCCCAGCAAAGTACACAGCAGCCTAACTTTGTGAACAAACAAAAGAGAATACTTCCTCTTCTCTACCTTTTAATATCACAGGACCCTGTATGTGAAGCCAGGTTAATCTCTGGTTCCCTGGTCAACCATATTTAGGAATAAGATGTCTCATTGGCTAGTTTAAGGCTCTGTGGTTCTTGGTCTCTCTTTTCCTTCAGTGAACAGCTGCCCAGTCCTCTGCCTTTCTGCCCCTATCCCCATCCACACTTGTGTCCCAAGGGTCAGGTCTCACCCCTCCCAAGGTCAGGCCTGGTGAGCAACAGGTGCAGCTAGAGCCCCCTGCACAGGCACAGTGACTGGTAGTAGCTGGCAGTGGCTGCCCAGAGTCCTGTTGGAAGGGTATGGGGAGCTTGAGCATGAAGACAAACAACTCAACTCACCCCTACATGGTTTTTATCCAGGGAAGAGATGAGAAGTGTGGAAAAGGAGATGCTGATGTGCTGAATTAGATGGTATGTGAAAGATGGCCAAACCCAGAAGCTTGAGGGCATTGGGCCAGCAGACATTGTTCATCACCCACATTGTGGGTGCAAGAATTGAACCCCAAACTGGAAAGAACAGGGAGTATTCTTAGCTGATGGGCCATCAAACCAACCTCTGCAATTGCTGAACTTAAATGTCTGCTTGACACACCTGGGAACGGCGAATCTCAGCTGAAGGATTGCCCACATCATATTGGCCTGTGGACACATCTCTTGGGCATTTGCTTTTGTTTCTTTCCTTCTTTCTCTTTCCTTTTATTGGTTTTTTGAGAAATGGATCCTTTGTGTATCTCTGGCTATCGAGGAACTCACTCTCTAAACCAGGCTGGCCTCAAACTCAGATATTCTCCTGCCTCTGACTCATGAGTGCTGACATTATAGGCACTAAAAGGGGTACACTACCACCACTACCACCATCACGACCACCACGACCACCACCACCACCACCACCACCACTACCACCACCACCACCATCTGGCTACATTCCCAGTTTTCAAATGGAGTTTGAAGCCTAGTAAGATGCAAGCATGTAGACCTATGTAAATTTCCTGAATCCTATTAAAAGGTAGAGGGAGAGAAATGACTCCACAGAGTTTCCTCTGACCTCAACATGGGCACACAAGGGATCTCTGTCTCTGTGTCTCTGTCTCTCTCAAAACACACATATATTAATTAAACAGTTAATTACAGATCAAATTTGTAACTGGATATATCTCATAAGTTGTGTGAGATTCTTAGGAGAGACTTACCACATGGTATATACAGTAAACATGAAGTATTGTTGAGGTCAGCTACTCCTGCCTGGGACTACCTATCTTATGACCTCAAAGCATCCATGCGGGAGGGACTTGGCACTTTGCCAGTCACTGACTTGAGCTGGTTGGGTGTTGAGCTAGCTGTTCTCTTTCCCTCTGTGACAGAACTGATTCAGGCTCTGTCTCCATCTACAGCAGCTCTGCAGGTCGGGACTGTGTGTGAGGGTGCACATATTCTACTTCTGTGCTACATACACAGTAGTCACAGGCTAGTCAAAGGTATGTAATAAGATGATGTGGTCAGGACAATGGGTGGGTCCCCAAGGGGTAAGTGTGAATACTAACATTCCCTGACAACAATACCTCAAGCAAAAATAGAAACTTACATGCAACATGTTGTAACAAAATAACATTAAATTTTTATCGGTATACAAAAGTCCATTAAACAAGAGTAGAAACATATATAGTGTAAAAAGTAACTTATATTTGTATAAATATACCATATTCCCCTAAATGATAATAAACATCCATAACCCACGAAACAACCAAAAGCCTCCCAAACCCCACTTGGGAATGAGGATGCTGTTTTCTTCAAACTGCTTCCTGCTGTCTGTTGATGAAGTATCTTAGGGTCCCAGAGAGAAAATGTTGAGATAATGGCAAAGTCCTAAAAATATGAGCAGTAAGCTTTGTTGATAGGTATCACCTGTCAAATTTCAGGAGGTCTTGCCTGTTTAAACCTGACCTTGAGCATGGAGACAATCAACTCAACTCATCCCCTACATGGGTTTTATCCAGGGAAGACATGAGAAGTGGGGAAAAGGAGGTGCTGGGGTGCTAATTTAGAGGGTACATGACAGATGGACTAACCAAGAGGCAAGAGGGCATTGGGACAGCAGATTGTTTTATAGCCACCATGTGGTTGCTGAGAATTGAACTCTGGTCCTCAGCAAGGACAGAAACTGCTCTTAAGTGCTGATCATCTCTCCAGCCCCTGTAATGGTTGATTGTCAGCTTCATACACTGGGTAGGGAGAGCCTCAGCTGAAGGATTGCCTGCATCATATTGGCCTGTGGTCACATCTGTTGGACATTTGCTTGCTTGCTTGCTTGCTTGCTTGCTTGCTTGCTTTTTTAGTTTTTTTGGTTTTTTTTATGAGACAGGGTTTCTTTGTGTATCTCTGGCTGTCCTGGAATTCACTCTGTAGACCAGATTAGCCTCCAACTCCAATACTTGCCTGCCTCTGCCTCTGAGTGCTGACACTAAAGGCATGAAAGATGTGTACCAGCACCACTGCTATCTAAATACATTCCCAGTTTTTAAATGGAGTTTGTGGGCTACTAAGATGCAGCCTATGATGCAAGCCTGTAGACCTGAGTTTGATTCCTGGAACCCAATTAAAAGTAGAAGGAGAGAACTGCCTACACAAGACTCTCCTCTGTTCTCCACATATGAATGCAAGTTCTCTCTCTCTCTCTCTCTCTCTCTCTCTCTCTCTCTCTCTCTCTCTCTCTCACACACACACACACACACACACACACACACACACACACAACTTAACTAATTAGTTAATTAATTTAAGATCAAATTTGTAATTATATCTACCTCATAGGCCATGTCAGGTCCTTAGGACAGACTACCACTTGGTGTATACAATTAACATGGAGGATTGTTGGGGACAGCTACTCCTGCTTGGAATCACATGTCACTGTCAGCATCCATCAGACCCAACCCCAGGAGCAATGTCTATATCTTCTCAAGACCTCATAGCTTCCATAGTAGAAGGACTTGGCACTTTGCCACTCACTGACTTGAGCTGGTTGGGTGTTGAGCTAGCCCTTTCTCTGTGCCTCTGCAACAGCACTGTTTCAGGCTCTGTCACCATCTACAGCAGCTCTGCAGGTTGGAACTGTGTGAGGGTGCACATATTCTACTTCTGTGCTACACACACAGTAGTCACAGACCCCGTGTGCTGACTGGACACTGTCAGAGCACAGCTACAGGACTCTAAAGAGAAGTCACTGAGTCCTCCCCTCACTCGGGATGAAACTTTCTGGGGGTTGTTCTGCTCACATGTAGGACACCTGTGCCATCTGATTGCCCCCATCTTCCTTGTCTTCAATCTACAGCCTTCTAATGGTCACATCTGAAGTTCTGGTTTGGGTTCCCTTTGGGATCCAATGGCCTCTGGGTTGAGGTTCTCTCCTGCCTCCACGGTGACAACATCTGTCACCTTTATCCTCTAGGTCTGGATTCAGATGACTCCTTAGAAAAATCCAGTACATTCACCTACCCAACCAAAGAAAGCCCCTTCTGCCTCTGCCATATTGCCCTGGCACCGAATTAATTGGGCTTAGGTCTCCTGGCATTTTTTTCTTGTCCTTTAAAGAAATATTTACTTTTCTTTTATGTGAATGAGCCCTTTCTCTGCATGGGTGTCTGTGAACTGTAGGTGAGCAGTGCCTACAGATGTGAGAAGAGGGGTCTGATCATCCAGAATTAGGGTTGTAGACAGTTGTGAGCTACCATGTGGGTGCTGGCACTATGCCTGGGTCCTGTGCAAGCACAGGAAGTGCTCCTGGCTGCAGAGCCATCTCTCCAGCCCTTAATATTATTTTTACATAATCTCGTTATGTGGCTCATGATGTCCTCCAACTCAACATTCTAACCCAGACTTGCCTCAACCTTCCAAGTGTTAGGATTACATACATGCCTGGATTGTGTCTGCAATTCTTTTTAGATTGATTTTTTATCATGGGGTTTCACTGTGTAGCAATAGTTGTCCCCTGGAACTCACTCTATAGATCATCCTGGCTTTGAACTCAGATATCCACCTACAACTGCCTGCAGAGTGTTGGGATTACACCATATATGTTCTACTGCACCTGGATCCTCCTGCATTTTAATGGTGACCAAGCATCCCACTGCAGACTGAATCCTGGCTTATTTACCTACTCCTCAGCTGATAAAGTTTGTTATGTCAACTTCTG